CAGTTGGACATCTGATATCATTTTTTTTAGTTTGTCGTCTTCATGATCCAAGATTTCAACAGCGTCACTGCGACATTTTTTAATGAAGTCCCCTTCATTGTATGGCTTTTTAGCCCGCGCAATGTTGGAAGCCAGTTGATATGATGCAAGCGTCACGGCCTCTGAGTGCTTTGTAATTTTTTTGAAAAACTGCACCTGCTTTTCTGCCTGACTTTTCAAAGTGTCCAACCTGTGCTTGCGAAGTTCAGTCCCTCTTGGAAATTCCTGGTCGATAATAGCATGGAGTGAGCGGAAGTGGCGCTGAAGATTTGAAGCTTTGAATTGTGCTCATGACGACTGACATATAAGGCAGAATGCCTTGCCGTTGCGCTCAACAAAAAAATCTAAACTGTCCCACTCTGTTCAAAACGTCCTGTGTTCTTCATATTTTCGTTTTTCTGTGCTTTTTCCCCCTGCCATTTTGAGAGCGAATGGGACACATTTGTTTACTTCTCAATGAAATGTCTCACGCACATGCGCAATTGACGTCAATTAGTCAGGTGCGCTGAGAAGCTGCATCCCGGGAGCCTGACGAGACCACACCTACTCTTCCGCACGGTGCACAACCAAGCACACGCGCGCATGACGCACGCCATGATGAGCAACAGCCGGAACGAAAACGGAAACACACAGACACATAAATTCCCCCCCTCCATTTCCTCCTCCCACCCTTCACGGTCGTCAGTCCGCTGGCTCCCGGTCCATCGCGATCGACGTACTGGGCACGCCTGCCTTAAAGGCCAAGTGTGAAATAAAATTGGCCAACCATGTTTTTGAGTAATATCAAATGGCTGGCATATTTCCGTCATTTTTTTCACGCAAACTTTCTAGATTCTTTGTTTAACCCTTAGCAACGCCCTTGACAACGAAAATGCTTTTCTTCGGCAATCTTCGGAAATGACGTCACATGGAGAACTGCGAGGGAAGTCCTTCCATTGCACAGCATTGTTGCATTGCTTGTTGGTAAGATGCGACGGCGATGTGTGGCGATGTATTGTTCGCAATCCACAGAAAATGTCTACCAGTGGCCGAAGGATAGCAGGGCACTTAAATGGACATGTTTTACTCGCACGAAGCGAATGAATTTCACGCCATCATCGACGAGTGTTCTCCACTTCAAAGATGAACAGCTTTCTCAACCGGTCTGCTTATGATCAAGGATTTGCAAAAAAATAAGTCTGATTTTTGGATAGATGATGATGATTTTGTCAAAGCATAGCTGCCAACTCTTGTGGAATGAACAATAGCAGGTAGCGACGTTAGCCGAAAGCTAACTCGAGAAACGAGCAATGTTGAACAGAAGCTAGCGACGTTAGTTTTCGGCTCGAGGCAAACCCCGATCGATGCCATTCATATCAGCGATGAGTAATCATTGCAGTCAGGCCAATTGTTCTGGAAGTACACTTCAATTGGTTGGCAGTGCTGCTTTGTTGACGAATGAACATGACACATCCTCTTGGTCAACTGGGCGACGAGCCCATAGGCAGTGAACTGCTTTGTAGATTATATGCGGCATAATTTCATGCCAATTATTTTAGTCTCTTGACGTGTATTAAACTTATCTTTTAGAGTAACGAGACTGGGGGAAGCTATGGAATGGAACTGGAGCGCCTGAAAAAATGCTGCCAGGAGTTGAAAGACTTCAATGTCAAAGTTGTCGTCACTGACACTGACAGGCATCGCCAGATGCTGAAATGGATCAGAGAGAATTGGACCCAAGTCATCTTTTGATGATGATTGTTGACACATTGTTAAAAGTTAGTGTATTTCAATGTTTATAAATACGCTAATTTGGGGATTATGTCTTATACATCATGCACGTCACTTCACGAGTTTTCATATCATATTGACCCATATGTCGTACAAATATTTATCATCCCAATATGTTGTTTGTTTTTTTTGTAGACTATGTGAATGACTGCCTGTCAGAGGTGATGGAACTGACTGCCATTCAAAATAAGTCCAGAACTGGTGATGTGTGTGTCGACCCGCAATTCCTGACAGCAGCAGTAAACAGGCCAGACAAGTCAACTGTTATTGCTGAGCACCAGACTAGATTCCTCAGGAAATAAAAAAAAAATTCCATTCCCTGTATTCAGTTGTCATCATTTGTTTATTTTTTTACATTATTTTGTTGTGATACATCATATCCACATTAACCACTCTAAAACCAATCCAAATCACGGTTCTGGAACATTTCTCTGTGAAACACGAAACCCATTGAATAAAGGTGACTCCTCTTCTCCTGGTGGTGGAAAATGTGCCCCGATACAAGACACGGTGCATGCTGGGAGCACAACATGGTTGTTCTGACCAAGAAACTTCCAGCACCAGCGCATCCTGTGGCCCATCAAATGCTTTGCCTTCGTAC